CAAAAATAGAAATCAAAATACCCACCGCTATTGTGTAGCTACGGAGTAAAGAAGTAACAGAATTTTAAACTTGCTACAATGAATAAGCAATACTTGTTTTCTTACCGCAATGGGGGTCGAGAAGAAGATTTCACCGTAGTGAGATACGGGCCAATTCTCGTAGGGAATACCGCATGACTTTCCTGTAACACATTTAAGCACGTTCGAAATGCCGTAAAGTACACCATCTACTGTAGAAAAGTAAACATCATGATTTCCATCTAAATCGATATCCTCTACTAAAGGATTGGATATGACATGCAAATTTTTGGTTTTAACAAGCCATTCAGAAATAAAAAATGCATTTTGTGAAGAAATATTTCTAATACTTTTGGGTAAAATGAATGTGTAACATGGAGAAAGCAAAAAGTGTAAAACAGCAAAAAACTTAATGCTAAAATTCATAACTTTGTGCTTTTCTTGATACAGAAATTTTGCAATGCAATATATGCACAGTTATTTAGGTTTATTCTTCTGTTCTAATAATCCTTTAACTGTTGTTAGGAGACTTTCGCCAAGTTCCATTGGCGTGGCTACATTTTTAATCTAGACCAATATGATAAGGCTTTCAAAAGACCTACTTCATATTGGTTTTGAAACAAAACTCCACAGTAGAATCCTGCCGCAAAAACAAACTACGATATAAAAAATTGGAACGTAAATCACTTACACAGTACCTGATCATCGTGCGCGCTCTTTTTATGGTACCTGGATTAGATTATATATTTAGATTTGTGCTTTGAGGACAGAAAGCCAATAGACTATGTTGCTTCTTTTCCAGTTGGCTTCCGTGCTTATCTGTTATTTTCTTGTATGAGCCAAAGATCCAACAGCCTTGTAATGAACTCAATAAACTAAATTGTAGCGATAAAAAATCCCCGAAATAAATAGCTCTGTAAGTCTTCGACATTGGATGCTGACCACATTAGTTTTAATGGGTTCACCTAGCTGAAGGGGCTCGGTCATGCATCCGCACCAGATCATTAGTGGGAACGTCGTGCTCAACATCCCCTACAATCACTAGCCAGCCTAGATTAGTCGATCGTCGACATATTGATAACCTATCAAATATATCTCCGAACCTCCTCACTTCTGTCTTTTGATTTCACTTGTTGGGTACGATTCGTATTAGGTGTTGCTGGTTAGAGCGTTGTCAAACTCCGAATACCTGTAGCATCTCCAGAATGTTACTTTTCTGATCGCTTCTTGATATTTCTATACAACTCAAGGTCTTTGGTAATATTGAGTGGGTGGTATCTACCCAGTCGACTGCACTACTTCAAGTCAGTTTAGTAGTTGTTTGTGAGTTTGTGTATCTCGTAATCTGAGTGAGCGCATCGTTCTCAGGCAATGATGATCCTAGATACTGACGGTTATCACACTACCAGGCAAGAGGTTGGTTGGTTGGTTGCAACGTGAAAAATAATAGAGAGAAAATTCAAGTACTATGAGATGGCAATTGTCTCAAAAATTGAGTAAGTAATTCAGTAATTTAGTTAATTAGTGATGGAGACAGTGTGAAAAGACCGAATTTTAAGAATAGAGAGGAAAACGGAGATGAAAATACGAGAGATAGGAGGAAATTTGAGTTAATGATGTCAATAGGCTTTCGTGCCGGTAATTACCCTTCCTCCACACTGACGTGACCGAGCCATGTCATACTGATTAAATTTCTGTGTTCGCAATTTTTTTGATCCCCTCTATAGTGCTTGGTGCTGAATATGAATCTTCTCAGTTATTGTATGTTTCACTCCAAGGATTGTGTAGTTGATAACCAATACTCTCACAGGGTAAGTTGCCGATTATTCATCAAGCACATTTATCCCAAGTGGGAGATGATAATCCGTGAGCACGTTTCTAACAAGTCTCCCTTAAAGCTATACTCTGATGAGATAGTGTTCACAATCTGGTTGTGACAGCATTCCAAATCGAAGAAACTCCTAGTAAGAAAATGTGGGAGCATATCTGTACTTTTACTCTCTGATGTGCGATTTTTTGGACGTTTTCTGGAGGGGCGTAATGATGATATCCTGATAATATGCTCGTGTTGGAGTGATTCGGCGTATTCAATACATTGTATACCATGATCAACTCACCTTCTAATCCTCTGTAGCTCAACAAGAATAACCCCGGGTGTTGGATTCTGTTCTCGTGAGGTTTATGTCCTAGGCCTACTACTCACCTGTTTGCACGTTCCTGTGCTTCGTTTAAGAGATTTATAAGGAAGGGGGCGTACTGACATTGAGGACTTCATGGTAAGGCGATGTGTACGTTTCAAACAGTGCTAGGAACAATTATGTACTCGGTCCAATTGATTTATGTGTCTTCTGGAGAGAGAAAATCTGACAGTGTTCTGAACTTCAAGGTGGATTTGAGTGTGCATTCTGTGAACGTGTCAGTAAGAACTATGGGACGATGACACGAAACTGTCTTCACATAAGTTTAAAGTCCACATCTATTTTTTCTGCATTTCCAATCTAGTTTAAGTCGGAGTCCTGTTCCGATTGGTTTATAATTCTAGATCGCGATTTGTGGGGACAATACGGAGAGGATCATTGTAGAGAATGTGAACTGTTTGCTTCCTGTATGGATAAATATTCCTAGTACGATTCGTTGAGAGACTAGAATTTAACCCGTTGTCTACTATTATGATCTAGTTCGGTACTAGTACCCTTGTCTCCACTACCATAATGATAGGACCGATCCCGGAATTTTAAATTTGTCATGATGTGACTACCTAATGTATAAGATCTTATGCGAACTTCATGCCATCGTCTATCCTGATTCACTGTCATGACAATCGGCAGTATGATATTTAACACTTTTGAAGAACTAATTTAGGCTGTGGATGGAATAATATATTTGGTGTGGATGGGGATAAGTTGTACAGAACGGCCGCGTCTGTAGGACTGTCATGCCATACCGAACCATTGTTCATGCGTTCACCATTTTTGGCCTTCATCCCGTTAAATGTTGAATGTGAATATTCTCAGTTATCTTATGTTCAGCCTCGAGGATCTTGTGGTTAGAAGTGATACGAATACAAATTGGTTTTGAAGCTATGGCAAGTCATTTCCTCCGTCTACTGACTTTCAGATTGTTTTGTCGACTGCGTAGATTAGTGTGTTCATCCACGAGGAGTTGCAGACGTAAGATCATATAAAAAGACAGTCGGGGATAATGAACGAATAAGTGACAGGATAAAAATGTGGCCCGAGAAGAATGAATAGACTGGTCTGATTAGAGGCTAGAATATAATATCAGCCCTTAAAACACCTTGTGTCAAATTATGCATGCCGTCGTCCTTGTGACAAAGTCTGTAATAAAGATAATAAGCGATAACACAAACTTCGATATTATGTCGTAATTGAAAGCCATATCTCATTTACTGTGTTATCGAGATATGGAGAGCGATGAAAAACGAAGGTGATCGTTTAGAGCTTTAAAATACCCTGTAGAAATTGTTTGACTTGTCTCAAATTCGGCAGTTGCCGATACGTGCTTCCATGTGAATTGTGATGCATATTGTTCATCGAGGTACAAATACATACACAGTGAATAACATTGAGTTACCTGTTGTCCATATACAAAATTACCTAGAAGCCATCGTTAGCCAAGACTTTGTAGTGTGGCGTCGAGTCACGGTTGACTATGATCACCACTACAGAAAGGTTGCGTACCAAATGTCAGAAGGCAATGAAGGTTGTAGCTAAGTATATTTGTTGGTGATCTCGTGATATCGAAAGAATACCAAGATCGTACCAAAGGAGTACAAGCGGATTTACCAAACAAACGTAAGTTCGTGCAAGATCACAAACAACGGAAAGAAGAATGGAAGAATAATGGATGTCTTTAGTACAGTTAAACAAGCAAGTACAGTAAAAGAATCACTGGTACAATTGGCCATAATGATAATTGTTTCCATTAAACCAATAGCATTCTCTTGATAAAAGTAGGTCACTACAACTTAGAAATTATTACACATTACTATGCGATAGTCACCAAAGGTTGTAGAACCTTATGTTCAATACATAGGACCTTTAGCCTTGTCGATACGAGAACCTTTTTGACTTTGTATACAGTGCTGGAAAAGATTCAGAGAACTGCAGCTAAATTGATCCCAGGATTAGCTAAGCTTCCGTATGATGTTTGGCTGACTGAGCTCAACCCAATTCCATTGTCATATAGAAGAACCAGAGGCGACCTGATCACAGATTTTAATTGCTTAATGATAAATTCGCATCTGATATGCCCTGATTCTTTTTTTCATCCAAAACAGGAAACGTATGAGAACACCAAAAATGTTTACAAGCTCGGAACAGATTACTTGTCAGTTGACTATCGACTTTCCCAACGAATCATCAACGAATGGAATTCATTACCTCAATACGTGATTGAAGCTCTACTTATCGACGCCTTAAAAAATTGGATCAACTGAGGGACCATCATTGCCGGGACTAACACAAGTCACCTAGCCTCCTGTCCTCTCCAAAGTTAAACTAAAATCCCCAGGGATGTAAAAATCAGTTGGAATTCCAGCATTTAAATTGAAGATGGCACAGGTACTCAGTGTTTGACAACGCTTTTACCAGTAACACCTAATATAACTCGTACCCACCAAGAGAAATCAAAAGACAGAATCGAAGAGACCGGAAGATTTATTTGTTTACTGTCAATATATCGAGAATCGTCTGATCTAATCTGGCTAGCGATTGCAGTGGATGTTGGGCGCAGCGTTCCCACTCGTGATTTGGTGAGGTGCATGACCGAGCGCCTTCAGCTAGGCGAGTCCATTAAAACATGTGGTCAGCATCCAATGTCGAAAACTTACAGAGTTATTAATTTGGGGATTTATTTACTACTACAAAATGCTGATTGAATACACTGAGTTTAGTATCATCTATTTTCAATCAAAAGGCAAGTGATTTTTATTTTCATTTTTAATTAGTGGTCTTAGACATGCCATCAGAAGTTTACGAGAAGACACTTGATTCTAACAGATTTGAAGGTCGAGAAACCGTTCAAAGTGTACGCTATCTCTTATCATTAGCAAGGTCGGATTATGGCCTTACGTGCTTTTGGCGCCGTACCACTCAAGGTAGCTAGTTTTAATCTGTTTTATTGTCACAGTTATTGTGTAGGTCAGATGAGTTTCTTTTTAGAAACTTTGGACGTCAATCATCCCACCTCTTTGTAGTGAGTTGTACTTTATTTTTCTGTATTCCGATGTTAGCACAGAGAAACCCCTGAAAACAATTCTAATACAACCTTCGAATTTTCTGCAGAAAACAAAAAGAGACTGGATGTGATAATATCAAACTATCCCCCTGCTCACAAGGCTGCTGCTATAATTCCTGCTTTGGATTTAGCTCAGCGACAACACGGTAATAATGGCTAGATTGAATTAATATCAACTTTATTTAGGATGGTTGCCAATATCCGCTATGAACAAAGTGGCAGAGATTCTTAATGTCCCCCAGATGAGGGTTTATGAAGTTGCCACATTCTACACCATGTTTAACAGGTTAGCAGTAGTATCAAATATTCAGATTTGTGTAATAAGGACAGAAGACCTACGACCTATGTTATTCCTTCTCTAGTATGCTTCTGTGAGTATTCACTCTTCCCTTGAATGAGGCAACTGAAGGTGCGGGTACCACTTCTTCGGGTAACAAGTTCCAAGAATTGATGACTCGGTGTAAAACATGTATACCACGGGTATTTTGTTCGTCCTTGGCTTTTTATTCACCTACTATGTCCTCTAAAATGTACCAATCAAGTGGAAAAAAGAGAAGATGCGTTAGTTCCAAAATCATCTCTTAGTACTCTATACATCAAAATCAGATGACTTCTCAATCTGCGATAGGACATAGTAAATAGTTCTAGCTTTTCAACCCGCTCTTTGCATGATAACCTTATTGTAGACTCCAACCAAAGTCTTTCGGATTTGCTCCAGTAATTCTACTATGACTGTGTAAAACTGAAATACTACCCACACCCTAACCTGCAACATTTTCAAGACATACTTTTCTGTATATCTTCCACTTTACTTCCTGACCACACTATATGTAATAAGTTAGTGCAATTAAACCCGTGTTTAAATCTCCAAAGACTAGAAGGAAGTCTATAAGAATGTGTAACCCGATAGTCAACATAGTGAAGCTACAACTACACCCTTTCCACAACTATCACTTGACGCTTTATAATCAATTCTCATTATTTTGTGTGTTCCCGATTCTCTCAGTGTTAACATTTTCGCTTAATACTTCATCTAGGAACACCAGTTTATGTGTATTACTCGGTAGTTTAACGTGCTTATCTGTGGCAATATGACATAATACCTACTTATTACTGCTTATACTTTTGCTAATTTTACAACTCTGACGTGTCATTATTTCATCTCGCTGTACTAATGTGGCATGGAAACCTGAATCAATGCCGATATGTGTCGGATTCCAAGGTTTTTGTGGCTGACTGATCTAAACTTAAAATTGACATGTTGCGCGCTAAGTAATATAGCTTAGAAATTTGTTGACGAACTTTTTTCCTCATTTTCAGGGAACCAGTCGGAAAGTATCACATTCAAATATGTACCACAACCCCGTGTATGCTAGGAGGTGTAGGGTCAGAAGTTATTCTAAACGCACTCAAGAAAAAACTTGGTATGTCGTCATTATATTTCGTAACATTTTCCTATAAATTCTTTAATATATCGTTTCTACCAACATTGTGCTTAACATTGGTGCCTATCTCTTGGGAAATCATCTCACTTCAAAGTCTGTATTTTTTATGTTAATAGTTAAACAACCATAGGGATCCTAATAATATACTATGCCGTCAGAATTTAAAGGTAGGTTGTTTATAAACCATTTGTTCTTTGGTAAATAGAATATTGTCAATCTATTAGGATTGTTTATGATATGGATTATTGGACCGTTGACCTATACAAGCAGTTATGTGGTTGCCATTTTGTACTCTTTTAAGTCTAGCCTAACATTTATACTGGACTCCTACCGTGAATCATAATATCGACAACATGAATCGTTTGGTTTACCTAACCTAGGTATTTTTCTGAAATGCGTTTGTTTAGTATACCGATAGTATATGCACATTACAGTCAAGCCTGAAATAAGCAAGTTAGTTTTCTAGAGGAAAACCGGATCGCACTTAAACTATACTGTACAATACTTAATTGTGACCTGTACTTTTACATTTAAACTAATATTTGTTTTCTCGGTTTCATAGGTATTGAACCGGGTCAGACCACACCTGATAAAATGTTTACACTGACAGAAGTGGAATGCCTTGGGGCTTGTGTAAATGCGCCCATGATGCAAATTAATGACGATTATTATGTAGGTTTTTAAAATCTTTTTTCAAGGCAGATTTTTGTAACATTGAAGGCTATTGCTAAGAAAAAATACTTATGTATAATCCATCTGCGAGATTTCACCATGGTTTTCTTTTAAAATCAAGTATTTTAGACAACGGAGTTAAATTTTCGTAGCACCAGTTGAGTCAAAAATACTGAGTCGTTGACCTCTAGAATATATAGATTTGAGTAACTTAAGTCAATAAATTAGGGTTAGCACTAGTTGTGTCAAGCAGATTACTTTATGGTCTGCGCTTTTCGGTTTCCAAATGAAACTGTGATGGAAAAGTGCCACTTTTTTGTTTAGAGTTGTGTTGTTTTCACTTTGAATGGTGGATCATGTAAATTTTTTTAAACTTTGTATATTGTTAATTTGTGTGGATAGTTTAATGATTCAGTTGCTTGGGTTGAATTACTGAGCTGTTAACAGAACTAGAGGAAATTAAAAACTGCCAATCAGTACGTAGGCCCAAACTAATCACGAACCACTAGTCTATATTGTAATGATATGTTCGCTAGCTAATCCCATATCGTTATTAAAATGTCGGGAGATTGTCATAATTCAAGAAATGTCAATTATTGCTTGTCCCTCTCACTTCAAAAAACTTGGACTTGAAGATTTTTAGCGTCGCTAATGTTACTAAAGTGTGATTTTGCAAATAAGCGTTACGCCATTCCATTCCTAGTTTCCATTAATAATATTTACTGACAATTATGTTAGTATATTAATTCAGGGAGTTCACAGTGCTGGTAAAATGCAGTCAATTCGATGTACTAAATGTATGAAAAATATCATCGGCTTAGCCTAGCATAATATTGCATTTCCTCAAGATATCGTATTTCACAACTCCAGAGAAAAGAAGTCGACCAAAAATGAAACTAGTAGAAATAACTTCAAGTAATTAGCAAGTTATAAAAACGGAGTTACTCGTTTACTAGCCAAATATTAGGCAGATTTCACCCTTAGGTTTTATCTTTAAAAATTCTCTTATTAACACAAAACCTTAAGTTCACATAGTTGACAACAATTTGGAGTTCTATTCATAGATAAAATTTCGTTTCCAGTTGTTCAAGGTACTGTTGAGGAAATGTTATATCTTGTTTTGGTGCTTGTCAAGCCATTAGCAAGACTTTGAGAACACTAGTGGTCTCGTAAATATTTGAACAATTGCTATTCATTGGCAAAGTCAGTCTACTAATTTATGAGATAACCTTTCTTTTTTGTATGATTTCAAAATTATTTAAAATGGACTTCTAATTGTAACCCACTCTCTTATACATTATCTTGTAGGAGGATTTAACAGCAGAGGATACAGTTCGTATTCTTGATGAAATAAAAGCTGGGAAAAAACCAAAACCTGGCCCACAGTAATTTTCAAATTATATCTTATGGACGTTTATTATTTAATCACTACTTCGATTTTCTTTTTGAAAATTACTGATTTCTTCCACATAAGTCACACTGTCAAAGTCTCGATAATGATATTAGAAGACGAAGATTATCAGAACTATGTGATATATTAGCGCAATACATTTCGAACAATCTGGTCACACATATACTTGTTAAGAGCATTTATATATAAAAATAAAAGGTCAACTAGACAGGAAACGGGGTAAGAGGAGATAAGGATAATGATAAGAGTAATAATAATGTGAACACAATTTGAAACGTAATCACTCCGGATAATAAGTCAATATTACCAGGGTAGGTTTAAGGTAAGAACAAACTGTTTTTGAACACATAAAGGGGGTTTGAATTTTCGTATGGCTAAGGCTTCAATGAACCTTAGTATACGCCCTTTTACACTTTTATACAGCACTACAAAAGCTGAATTTAGATCAATCTTGTGACCTGTTTCAATTATATGTTTAGCAATAGAGGATGATGGATGTTTATCCTCTGCTCTTATCGGGTCACTTGATTGTATTTGTTTCTGAAGCCATTTGGGTACATGTTCACTCACCCTAATGTTGAGATCACGATTACTCCTCCCTATGTATGTGTGACCACACACACATTTAAATTGGTAAACACAGTGGGATGTGACGCAATCGTTTCCATGTACTTTAGGTTTTATCAAAGGGACTAATTGTTTTAAATTTCTTAAAAGAAGACTCCCTGCACATACTATCAAAGTCGTTTTAAATTTTTAATCCTTTATTGACTTCCTCAGTTTCTAAAACGTAGAGCCACTGAAGTAATGAGAAAATCGCACTTTTCATCTACTCGTCTGCTAAGCTCATAACATGAAATAGAGGCAATTGACATGTTAGCTGAGCCGAATAAGTAAGACGGTTTTCTCAACTTCATTAAAGGCTATAAGTATGTGAGGTAACGTTTGTGCCGGTAAACGTTAAAGAAATCACGGACCTTCTTGGAGTTTGTAAGTCTTACTGACGACTCACACGACATAGATATCATTTCTGACTGTTAGTGAGTTTCTCGATCGTATTTTATTTCTCCAGCGTGTAATTCATGAAATACTATCCGCAAAATGGTCTTTTTATCTTAGACAAAGATATACAAATAATTGCATCTGATTATGATAAGGTATCCTGGTCAGCATTAACTTCAAATACGTTGTTCGTAACGTACAACACAGCTAAATTAAGTCTTTACTCACATTTCTCAGCTGATTGAGGCCAATCAACGAGAAATAATTGTCGATTAGAAACAATTTAACAGATGATTCAGGTAGTTTGATTGATATGAATAGATTAGTGAGTTTGGTACCTGAACTCTATCGTAACGTTGAGATATTTATTTATCGCTTGCGTATAAATATGAAGGTGCTGAAGCATCTTTGAAAATTATTCAACACTCTAAAGGCTCCAAATTATACCTGTCTTGCTATTTTAGTTTCAGGACTTAAAATCCGTGTAAAAAGTACTTATTATTCAACTCTATATTCGCTTCAAAATGCTAGTAAAATTGGTTTCTGTATACCTCAAGTTTTTGTTCTGTTCTTTCTTTATTGATCGTCCAGTTGAACTAAATGGAAAGTAGTCGACATTAAAATGTTATCTAATTACTCCCTTTTTGAATACGTCTATATACGTCCATTTCTATATATGACAGGTTTATATTGAAGCCTGGGTCTTAGTGTATGATAATTTTAATATTTGCAGATTAGCTTGACATAAACGATTTGACTATCATGCTTAAATTGATAGTCAAATGGATACTTGAATTTTTTCCAACTTATCTTCATTTTAGAAGCGGACAAGGTGGACGTTTTGCATCCGAACCGAAAGGTGGTTTGACATCACTGACTACAGAACCTAAAGGTCCTGGATTTAAAGTTCGTTCGGATCTGTGACCTCTTTAGTTCATTATTAATTGAGCTTGTTATCAGTATACATAGTGAAGTATTTTTTCCTTTGCCTAATAAATTGCTAACTTTGAAATTTATTTCATTTTTATCCTCTGGGTACTAAATTCAGGGAAACCATTCTGTTCATACATTTCATGTGGTAAGTGATACTACTAGTCCTAACCCTAAATCCTAAAAGTTTAGCTCAAAGCCAAGTACGCAAATCTGTAGCTGATGAGTAGTAAGAAAAATTCCTATTAATCGACACCAAATGTCAATATCCAATCATTTATTATTGTTGCAGATTATGGTAATCAAGAGTCGGGTTGGGATCTTGGCATAAAAAGTCGCATTAATTTGTGAGACCAAACGACAATTGACATATCGTAGATCTATTACAGGAAATGTAAGTTATAGGAAGTTTGTATTTCTATTTCTAAATACAGTAGCTGACATAAATATAAAACCTATGAAACAGGAAATATTGTACTAAATTCACCAAAATAGTGATTTTTCCAGGAAATCTGATAGCCAACTAATAGGACCTTTAGAAGGATTTGATTTGCTTGGAGCATCCATTAATTTTGGAGCAGCTCTCGTTTCATCAACCTCAAAGAGATCAGCATCATCTTCTAAATAAGGTGGGACTTCAGTATTTCGCGAGTTTTGCCTATATTTTAAACCGTTGAATGAACTGTGTCTGCATAAGGATTGCCTAGAATCAATATGTATAATATAAAATCAAACACTGACTTCTGTGAAAAATGGAAGGTAAAAACATAGTTAAAAACAGCTTTTTAAAGCGTATTCTAGGTAGATAAATAAAGACTTTCGTCTAAATTTGATCGAATAATTTCACAGTATTTGGGCGCTGAGTTAATGTGAGACATTAAAGAGGAAGAATTTATTTACTTCAAAATTCATTCGCTGAGATTTTACAAATACATTCTTCCTCTTTAATGTATTCTAGGTAGGTACTAAAGAAAAACCATCTGCATACGCGTATTAAATAGAAGTACATTAAAGTTAAGATGGGATAAGATACATCGTAGTGTCTACCACTATGTCAATCCCACGAGTGTTTTTAGCCTCCAGATACATCAGCTTATTTATCAACATTTTAACCCTGTCAACTACTCGTTTACTAACCCTGGTTGTTTTTATACGAGCGTATGCTTATCCTAGTCGTCAAATGTTTAGCTATCAATACTGAGTCACGTTCCTTCAAATGGAGTTGACATATTTGCCTTCTCTTGTTCGCTTCGTGTCCCTTGTTGTCTGTCTGGATCGACGGGTGTATGAAATATACGTAACCAGAATTCACTCTTGTATGGCTTATTTTATTGCTATTCACTAACGCGAAATAAGTCGATAATTATATATGACAGTTGGAGAATGCACATTTTGCTAACCTTGCTCCACTGCCTTGTTGTAGATTATACTTCTTGGTAAAAAAATTGGAAAGTGATCCTCTTAGGGATATATAAGCTTTCGTCTAGGTATTCGAGAAGTATTCTAGCGCACACACAGAAATCTTGTGCAGCGCTTACAAATTTTTGAGCCCAGTTGAACCAAACCTCAT